CATTAAAGTACAATTCTTAAGCTTCAAAATCATATATTTATTTTTCAACATAGCCTTAATGATGACTAACACATTTCTCCCAACGAGTAACAAGTTTTTTCATTCCGTCACTGGAAAATCGTTCCGACTTTTCTTGAATCCAGGACTTGACAGCTGCCTTCACCTCATCGTCTGAGGTGTAATGATTACCCTTGAGGTCTCTCTTAAGTAGAGGAAACAAATAAAAATCACAAGGTGCAAGATCAGGAGAATAAGGAGGATGTGGAATCGGTTCAAACTTCAGGTTTCGCAGAGCCTCTCCAGTTGCGCGCGAGGTGTGTGGACGAGTGTTGTCATGTTGCAAGATTATTGGTGCCAGGCTGCCTCTAACATGTCAAACTCAATGTCAGAGGTGTTTTAGAGTCTGTATGTACTGAGAAGAATTAAACGTTGCAACAAGGTGGAACGGTAATTGTCTGTGGCAGTGATCGGACTTTCGCTGCATGTTTCATCAACAATTATGGCTTTTCCAGGCTTGAAACCACGAAATTTTATTATCCATCAATTTACAATAGAGCTATCAACAGCATCGTCACCATAAACAGCCTTTAAACGTAATTTTTTCAGCAGTTAAAAATTCGATAACAGCACGCTGTTTAACTCGCTTTGACTTAGCACCAGAACGCTTCTCAAAATATATTGAATGAACACAACTACCTCAAACTGCACATGCACATAGAGGGGGAATGTTACTTCCATATGCTACCTGGCATGCTTCTGAAAATCATTTCTTTTGTGCTCTACAAGCATGTGTGCATTACTTTTCAGCCCGCCCTCGTAATTTCACCTTCAGCCTTTTTCTCTGAATCATCTTTCTTCTCCATTTTCACCCCAGGCGATACCTTTGAGTAGCCCTGGTTTCATCCCCTATCTGCTAAAAGTAAAAGTATAAAAGATGACAAATGCCATAATGAAAGTTAACAGAAAATAAAAAATTAGATATCTTAAGAAATTCTCTGCTTTTTTACTATAATCAGAGTAAAGTCCATATAACATTTGAATTGAAATAAATTGCTATTTAGCTATTACCATGCATTATAACATACTAATGGACATCGTATTTGCTATCTTACACCCAAATCCTTCAATTGTAATGTTCGAAGAGGTAAAAAATTTTTAAAAATTCAAACCTTTTCTCACAGTAAAAACTTAATATAAAACTCTTGCACTCTCAAACTCTATGCCAATTGTCTTTTAAGTTTAGAAATTAAGAAAAATCACTCTCATTTTGTTTTTTCAAGATTTTTATCTTGCTTTTATTTCCATTCAGATAAAATGTATAAAATAAAGACAAAAGTTATAATTTTCTGTATATGAGAAGCAGTGGCGTGCCATCATTGAAAGTGGTGGATGCACCACTTCCCTTGTATTTTCTAAAAAATAAATACACATTAATTTTAATTATATGAAAATAATCGCACAATATTTTATTATAACCACATTATGTATCTTATTACAAATTTCTATACTACACGTGAAAAAAAGATAAGATTGCTGTTGTATATTTGAATATTAGTGGCAGAGTGGAAGTGCTGTATTGTCAGCATCAAAAAAGCCAGATTTGCGCATGCACTTTACAGAGCACCAACCTCATCCGGTTTAGCTGGTGGAAGCCTAGGACCTTGGGTGGATGCTACACGTATAACACATCCAATTCTATCCAGGACGTCAAATCCCTT